TGCGCGCGCAACCCTCTGCGGAGATCGTGCGTGTCGAGTGCGCGAAATGCAGGCGAGAGTGCGATTCGCCGGGTGCCCGCGCAACCCTCTGCGGAGATCGTGCGTGTCGAGTGCGCGAAATGCAGGCGAGAGTGCGATTTGCCGGCTGCCCGCGCAACCCTCTGCGGAGATCGCGCGTGTCGAGTGCGCGAAACGCAGGCGAGAGCGCGATTCGATCGGAGCAAGCTGTGGGGCTGGAAGCTGAGAACTGGCGACTTTGTAGTACAACTTTAGTACGCGGAGGAGCTGGGGAGCTGGAAGCTGAGAACTGGCGACTTGGTAGTACAACTGTAGTGCGCGGAGTAGCTGGGGAGTGGGAAGATGAGAACTGGCGACTTAGTAGTGCAACTTTAGTACGCAGAGTAGCTGGGGAGCTGGAAGCTGAGAACTGGCGATGTGGTAGTACGACTGTAGTACGCGGAGTAGCTGGGGAGCGGGAAGATGAGAACTGGCGAGTGGGTAGTACAACTTGAGGGCGCGGAGTATCTGGGGAGCTGGAAGATGAGCACTGGCGACTTTGTAGTACAACTGTAGTACGCAGAGTAGCTGGGGAGCTGGAAGCTGAGAACTGGTGTCTTTGTAGTACAACTTTAGTACGCGGAGCAATCTGTGGAGCTGGAAGCTGAGAACTGGCGACTGTGTAGTACAACTTTAGTACGCGGAGTAGCTGTGGAGCTGGAAGATGAGAACTGGCGACTTGGTAGTACAACTTTAGTACGCAGAGTAGCTGGGGAGTGGGAAGATGAGAACTGATGAGTGGGTAGTAGCTGAGAACTCGCGACTTTGTAGTACAACTTTAGTACAAGGAGTAGCTGGGGAGCTGGAAGATGAGAACTGGCGACTCGGTAGTACAACTTTAGTACGCAGAGCAGCTGGGGAGTGGGAAGATGAGAACTGGCGACTTGGTAGCACAACTCTAGTACGCAGAGTAGCTGGGGAGTGGGAAGATGAGAACTGGTGAGTGGGTAGTAGCTGCGAACTTGCGACTTTGCAGTACAACTGTAGTGCGCGGAGTAGCTGGGGAGCTGGAAGATGAGAACTGGCGACTTGGTAGTACAACTTTAGTATGCAGAGTAGCTGGGGAGTGGGAAGATGAGAACTGGTGAGTGGGTAGTAGCTGAGAACTGGCGACTTTGTAGTACAACCTTAGTATGCGGAGTAGGTGGGGAGCTGGAAGATGAGAACTGGCGACCTTGTAGTACAACTTTAGTACGCAGAGTAGCTGGGGACTGGGAAGATGAGAACTGGCGACTTGGTAGTACAACTTTAGTACGCAGAGTAGCTGGGGAATGGGAAGATGAGAACTGGCGAGTGGGTAGTAGCTGCGAACTGGCGACTGTGTAGTACAACTGTAGTGCGCGGAGTAGCTGGGGAGCTGGAAGATGAGAACTGGCGACTTGGTAGTACAACTTTAGTACGCGGAGTATATGGGGAGCTGGAAGATGAGAACTGGTGACTTTGTAGTACAACTGTAGTACGTGGAGCAGTCTGTGGAGCTGGAACCTGAGAACTGGCGACTTTGTAGTACAACTTTAGTATGCGGAGTATCTGGAGAGCTGGAAGATGAGAACTGGCGACTTTGTAGTGCAACTTTAGTACGCGGAGTATCTGGGGAGCTGGAAGATGAGAACTGGCGACTTTGTAGTACAACTTTAGTACGCGGAGTATCTGGGGAGCTGGAAGATGAGAACTGGCGATTTTGTAGTGCAACTTTAGTACGCGGAGCAATCTGTGGAGCTGGAAGCTGAGAACTGGTGACTTTGCAGTACAACTTTAGTTCGCGGATGAGTCATCTCTCGCGGCTGAGTCATCTCTCGCAGCTGCTCTGGCGCCCCTGCAGCTGAGTCATGTCTCCCGACCACCCGGCTCTCTTAAAAGGTTGACACACACACACAGAGACCCACGCACTGCCTCAACTTACTCGGAGACACACACACAGACAGAGACTCATACACACACAGACATAGATACACACACACAGAGACCCACACACTGCCTCAACTCACTCGACTTAACACTTCACACTGAACACTCAACAGATAACTCACACTCTGACTTCCCACGTGATGAAAAATGCTTTCGGGCCACTCGTCGTCTAGTTTTACTAACTGGTCTAAAAAGTTAGCTAACATCCTTAAATAGTTACTAACACCCAGGCCCATCTAAGTAAATCCTCTGCTCGAATGGCTTCTTCGACTGCTCAGCTCGGACGATATACAGTCTCGGAGTTGAGCTGCTGCTGCTGCTGCCAGAGCTGCCCAGGAAGTTCACGCTCAAATTGATGCGTTCGCGATGGAGATGGCTGCCTGCAGGTGGGAGCTTCCCCACGCCCACAGAGCTTGCAACGAGTGTACCATCATGAGCACCTCGATGTACGAGCGCATTCCGCCTTCGGCGTGGAAACGCGACTGTCACCGCGAGGTCTCCCACTGGATCGTGGCCCCGCCGATCATAGCCACAAACCCTTGAACACTTTGTTCACCTCGAGGAGCGTAGCGATGTTGATCTTTCTTTTGGAAGGCCTCCCCAGCCGGGCCCACGATCACCAGGTTGGCGGAGCGTACGGCGTATAAAAGAGGAAGTGCTCCAATACGTGGTGGCCAATCGGTACCGCCCGGCCATCGCGGCCTCTTGGCCACCTCTCGCCCCATCAAGCTGACAGCGTAATTAATAAGCGAGTTCGGCCGGCTTCTAATGGATACCCGCAGAACTTCGCCCACGATACCCTGCGCCGCCTTGATCTCTTCCGCAGTCACACCTTCTTCCACCAGTTCGGTAGAGGAACAGCCCGCTTCTCCACAATGTTGTGGCGCTGCGCCAAACCCTCCAAATAGGACGGTTGTCGCAGAAGTAGACCACCATCTTTGGCCTTGATTTCATAGCCGCAGAAACGTGCCCAGCTGTGCTCATCCGTCTTCAACCCGTCCTGAGCGGTCTGACCTCCTAGAACTAAGGGGTCATCAACGTACACCAAAAGGAGTGCAGCCACCTTGTTAGTCTCCTTCTCAACAATGCGCCGCAAATTGAAGCTGTAGGCGACACCACCTTCTTCCCAAGCCATCTCCAAGGACCTGGTCTCTGTAGATCGCCCAATCCCATGACCTCTTACTGCTTGAGCCTCCCTTCTTCCAGCGCGCATCTTACCTGGAGCCAGCTCCAGGAGCCTCTCGTCTCTCTGCATTCATTGCATCCATGTGCTTCTAATCGCAAGCAAGTGTTTGAAGCACTTTTGGGGGAGAACTGAATGCAACAAAAACGGTTTCAAACGGAAGACAGCTTCTGGAACGAGAAACAGCGTTCCAAACGAAAGAAGGCTCTTGAAAATGAAGCTCGCGCGATTGAAGTGCAAGGAAAGGATTGAATCGCGAGGACGGTTTTGAAACAAAAGGGGAACTAAAAGCAACATGTTGTCATTAGAAGAAAAGGTCTGAACCCAGAGGCAGGATTTGAGAAATACATTTTCTATCATAGCATTGGAAAATGAGAGCTGTTCGATTGAAGTGCAAGGAGAGGGTTGAATCGCAAAAAATGAAACAGTTGAAAACGAAAAACGCGCGCGCGCGATTGAAGCGCGAGGAAAGGATTGAATTGCGGGGAGGGCGTTGAAACCGACGGGAAGCTGAGTGGAAAAAAGAAACCGTTTTTAGATGGAAGAAAGATTCTGAAACGAGAGGCAGGATTCCAGAAAGAAAGCAATAATTGCAATTGAAAACGAAAAACGTGCGATTGACAAGGACAGGATTTAATCGCAAGGAACGGTCTGAAACGCATGGAAGAAATGAGGGCGAAAGGAAGGTTGAAAACCGAAGAAAGGTTGTGGAACGAAATGCGGCGTTCCGAACGAAAGAAGGCACTAAGCGCTAGGAAGGGATTGAATAATTAAGCGCAAGGTTTTTTTGGAATGAATGAACAGTTCGAAAGGAAAAGATACGTCTTGTTAGCGAAAGAAAGCTTCTGTAACTAGAAGCCGGGCTCCAAACTAGACGACAGGGTGGCCCGAAAGCGCAGCAGGGAGACGACAGAGGGTAACGATGAGGATGAGGATTGAAGATGGTGTTGGTAATTATGAGGCTGCTGATGCTGATAAGGCTGATGATGATAATGATGATGATGAGGGTGGTGATAACATGATGAGACTGACGAGGATGATGATGATGGTGGTGGTGGTGGCGGTGTGTGGCGATAACCTGATGATATTCATGATGATGGTCCGTGATGATGATGGTGATGATGACGATGGTGGTGATAACATGATCATACTGATGATGATGATGACGACGATGGTGACGGTGATGATGATGATGATGATGATAAAGAACATACTAAGATGCGAAAAGTCACCGTCAACGACGCGTTTACGCCAGCGTGTTTTCCTTCCCCCAGCGGCGCAGACTCATGCGAACGCACCTTCCACCGAGGCCGCGCAAAACCACATGACGCAGCGACATCAAAGGCATGCCACTAGATGCAACAATGACTTGACCACGCACTTCCCGCATGATGCCAAACGAACCCTGACGTTGGGGCTTACCAGGGGAGATATAACGTGTACAAGTTGTGCTGGGGTACCTTGCTAGGTGTAAGTTGCATTGTCTACCCCCTTCACGGTAGCGAAAATTCTTTGATTCACCTTTTCATCATCATTTTTCTTTAATTTGCTTGGTCTTTCTTGCTGGGTTGTCGGTTTCAATGTTCGTTCCGAGATGCAGTTTTTTGTTTCTACGTAGTGTTATGTGGGCTTGCGCAAACCTCCTCACGCATGCAAGCACTTCTGTGATGCTCATGGCGCCTGAGGCCCAAGCAAAACTCAGTGTCCCGCGTTTTGCTACAGTTGATGTGACGTCTGTTGCCGATTCAGAAAACGTGAAGCTGCTTTGCCATGCCTTGCAACGTATGTTTACAATGCGTTTGGCCATTGGCAGCATTTGGCTTCTGTCATTTCTGCGTCAAAACCGTGTGAGGACCTTGAGGATCTACCACCCGAGGACGCCGCGCGCGCGGTGGCGGTGCAGGGTCTGGCTGCGGCCACAGAGGTGGCGCTGCGAAACCTTGCTGAGGCCAGAACAGTCAAAAGAACGAGTTTGGGCAATCCAAAGTGGAAAATGTTTCATGGGTTGTCCAGTTCTCCGTGCATTTTCATTGCTGAACATTTGGAAATGCGACAGGACGGTTCTGGTGCGGAGAGCTTGGGTGCGTTGGACGCTGGGTGTGCATTTTGCTATCGCAACATGGAGATTGTATTTGTTAAACTTATTTAAAGCAACGTCCTTTTTCAGTGGGCGTCATTTCTGTTGGCCAAGAGACTCCCACCAAAGTCACTGCTTCCCTACCCCGCCCATCGATGTGAGTGGTCCGCAGGCCCTTTGTGCGCCCGCCTAAACCAGGGAAGGCTGCAACGCAAAGGAAATTTGCAAGCCTTCAGGTCGAAGGCGAAAAAAGGAAAGGGAAACGTCGGTAGCTTCATCCAAGAGCAAAAAGCCTTCAGCCGCTGCCCTTCATTGCCTTCAATCATTGGCAGGGATCTCTTTCGCTGACATCAAATCTCGGACAAAATGGAACGGGTCCGGGGCGACGATCGGTATGCCAGCAAGCAGCAAGATTCTCCCAATAGGCGGCCAAGTCTGAATGGCTAAAGCTAATGGTCCGCCACGCTTGAAAAAGTCCAGAGTTGTGTCCCCTTTTTTGTAAGACACGGAAAGAATGGTCAAACACACCAAAGCAAAGGACACCGGTTCTGGAAGAGGCCATGGAAAAACTAACTACCCGTCCAAGGCCAGAGTTTGCCGAAGTGGCCAATCAGGTGAAGCCAGCAAGCAAGCGTCAAGCAAGCCAAGCACACAAAACTGAGAAGCATCCTACGCTGAGCACTACATTTTCAGGCAAATCTAGCCTCCCTAGCCGAGCTGCTCGACCGAGTAACAATCCTGTAAGAGGACCAAACGGGCGCCCGTAATAGGATCCACAGAGCCGCAACTGAAAGTTTCTGAATAAAGCTGCAAACACTTGTGGCAAATGGCATAGAATACCATAATCAAGTCATTGACATACCGCGCGCCAAAGCAACTCTTCCAACCAACCATCCAGTATGCGACGACCAGACAAGGTTTCCGCGTAGAAATCAAGTTGTTCTTCTTCCAGGCTAAGCAGGCAAATCATTGCAATCATTATGACCAGGCCTTCGGTGGCCACCAGAGTGCAAGGCCTGCAAGTCGTAGAAAGCAGCTCGCCTGAAGCGTTCGACGCAAGCGCCAAGTTGTAAACGTCACGCACTTCCGCCCCGGCTTTGACAACACGACCCTTGGCCGCTGTAATCGCGCCCCCACCTCTTGCGCTGCGCAGCGCTCCTTTTGCATCAAAAACCAACAAAACGAATGATGTGTCTAGTTGCTTGTACATCTACGCAGCATCTGCAATCAGAAGCGAAGAGAAAGGCTTACCAGCTCCGCATAGAATGCGCTGACGTGGCTGTTGGGGAACTCGAAGTCTATCCGTTCATGTTTGCCCGAAAGAGTGATCTGATTGAGTTGCCAGACTGAAAACCCGGCTCCTGTACTGCAGATGAGGATTTGGGTTGCCCTTTCTGCCACTCTCCAAGCTCGCCTCCAAAGTGTTTGGAAAAGCGACGCAACTTTCTTCATTATAAGTGCAGACGTGTGCGCGCTTGCTTCCCAGTGCGGGCCCAACAAAGACATGAAAACGGCCGCAAAACACCGAACCGACATTGTGATTTCTTGTCTTTGTTTTTGTCTTTGTCGTCTTGAAGGCGCACTTCATGTTGTTGCTGAGTCATGTCAACAATGCATAAGCTACTTCTGCAGCAGCAGCCCGTATGCCTGTTGAATAGTCAGCCGACCGAAGCCGCCAACAACATCTCCTCACTTTTCTCGGGATGTGATGTGCACTGACGCATGCCTGAAGGTCCTGCTCGACCTGACTGCTGTGGAAGCAACAAAGGATAGTTCCCGGTCTTGGGTTGCCCAATTTTCCAGGAAGCACTTGACAGTGTGAGTCGCTCCGACTGCAGACAAGGAAACATTGACAAGGCCGCAGCAAAATTCTGCTCGGGCATCCAGTGGAACATGACCTACTGCCTCTTGCGCGGTGCCGGAGCCTGAATTGCTTCAAGCAAGAGTTTGTCCACCTGCCCACGCGCGACTGTGTTTGACGTTGCCCCCACGCCAGCGCAACCAAGGATGCCAGTCACGCAACGGCTTGCGCCGGGCGCTAACGACCCACAACTCATCGGGAACCCAAACTGGCAGCCTTTGCGCGCGTGCCCACAGAGGGTTTGCCAATCAAACGCACGCGTAAATGTCGCTGAAGCAAGAAAAATGTCACATTCACCCGGACTCTTTTGCCGCGGTGTTCCCACCGAAGTCATTGATTCTATTCTTACCCAGCCCATCGATGCACGTGGCCCCAAGAGCGCCGGCCCGGGCCTAAACTGGGTATAGGGCCGCGAAGCCTGCAACGCAAAGGAATTTCCCCAGCTTTCAGGGCGAAGGTGAAAAAGGAAAAGGAAACGTCGATCGCTTCATCCGAATCCAATAACCAAAGCCTTCAGGCCATCATCGCCTTCGTTGGCTGGGATCTTTTTTGCTTACATCAAATCTCGGATAGAACATAACAGACCCACGCGGGCCCTGGGGTGATGATCGGTGCGCCAGCAAGATTCTCCCAACAGGCGGCCAAATCTGAATGGCTAAACTTGATTGCCCACCATGATGGACCATGCCTGAAAAAGCCCGACAGTTCTTGGCAATGGAAACGACAGTTCTTTGCAATGGAAAAGAGACCCGCATTAATTTCTTGAAATTTTTAGCTGTCTCAAGCGTCGTTGCATTTTTGTTGCTGCTTTGGCTTTGTCCGGTTGATGTTTCTGTCATTGATTGACAAAGGAACGCGATAACTTGCTGCGTGGCCCATTGTTCGATATAGAATCTGCTTCTCAGCTTTTTTGGTTTCTTTCCATGTTCAACAAGTGAAGGCAGAGGTCACTAAGGTTCAAGTTCAATGTTTATTTCTTATTGTTATTTTTTGGTGTGTGTGTGTGGGGGGGGGGTGAGGTGGGGCAGGCAGGGTTCCTTCATCATGCCTAGACAAATTTTCATGGAAAGGGGTTTCAATGCCATTTCATTTCGTAGAAACAGTAGCCCTCCTCAAAAAAGAAAGCGTTGGCGACCAAACATGGGGTGTATCGTTTTCCATTTTCTGTTGATGAAGAAGAAGGACATAGTGCAGTAGCACTTCCTTGATCTGCTGAATGTCATGTGACAGAACCAACTCACGAACTGTCTTGTATCGCCTGTGCGTTTTTCGTCGCCGCCGAATTTCTTCTATGTAAAAATAACACCGAAGATGAACCTTATTCAAAGCCAAAGGGTTTGGGCCCCACCAATCGTGCGTGTGGTCGTAGGTTCACGCGCTGAGTGGTTCCTTCTAACAAGCCCAGCAGGAATCCGTATATAGAGCAATCCTTTCGCGCCGGATTGAATGAGACACTACCTTCGGCTCAAGCGCCCAAATTGTGAGGGCGGTCGGAAGAGCACTGCCATAGCGTTCTTGACTCGAAACGCCCAAGACCTTGGAATGTCGGGGCTATCAGTTTGATTCATCAGAGATCTCAAGGTTCATGTGGAGTAGCTGCGTTTTCTCCTAATGTGGGTATATTTCAGTGTTGGAAGGGAAAGAGGGCGACGTTCGATATGGACATTGACATGCAAAGGACTTGTCAAGCGACCTTGAGGCACTATCGTGCTGTGGACCGTTTTCTAGAAAGGCAAGCTAAACAAAGATCGCGGTGCTGCCTGGTCTCAGCACCATGCATTGTCCTTGAAAAACTTGAAAGCCGCTAGCAATGAATGCATGCTTATAGGACCCGTGGGCATGTCATGAGACATGCTCAAGAACACGTTAGGCATCGTGATATGTATCCAGAAGCGCGCGTTGGCGCCCGCAAGCATGGTTCAACTGGCTGCAATCCCAAGTGGAACAAGCGACCGCTGTCGATCTGCTTGGAGTGTTGCAATCAACATACGGTTGCCACAAGGCGCCGGGACACCCTGCAAAGACAGAGAAGGGTGACAAAGCGCAGAAGGAACCCTGACAGACAAGCCTTCGAACGAACCTGCCCACTGACACGGTTACGGGCGCTCCCGGCGCAGTCAAAGGGCGCAAAGGCCCGACCGATTCTCTGGCCAAAGGAATGTATATACGTCTCCCAAGAGTTGGAAGGGCTTGAGTCTCAGCAAAGGGCCGGTTCAATTGAAAGCGGCGTGTAGCCTTTGGGCTTCGCCAATCGTCGAAGGCGTTGCGGGAGGAAGACGCGAAAGAGCGAAATTTGTCTGTCCCACGAGTCCTGAAGAGACACCAAATTCGTAGCTGACGTGAATAGGCGTGATTATAAAGGGTGGCAAACCCTACGACCGCAAAACTGCTTATTGTGTCTATAGTATATCTTATTCAGCAACGCCAGCATTCTCGCATTTTTTGGTTCCAAACCTCTTGACGTAGAGAGGTTCGCTCATGAAAGACGCCTTCGAATTAAGCAATCAAGACTTCCCTCGAAGAAAGCCAAAAGGCGACGAAAGGGCAATCATTTTTGCGCCGAAAAGAGACGGACGTTTGAGCTGCCCCTTTGAAGAGCGCGCCTGACTTATAGAACACGATGGGGCTGAAGGGGGTGGCTTGTTGAAGGGGGACGCGCAAAGGATGAACTTTCTTGAAGGTGTTCGCAAAGTGATTTTTTCTTCCGGTGATATGGGCAGGAGTCATCCGGTGAGAAGGACGACAAAGCAGTTGTCAATTTTCAAGTGATTGTGAATCTAAACGCGCCCGCTTCCCAAAGAATTGGCGTTGTGAAGCGTGAGAGCCAAAATACCATCGCAGAAAGATTACGCAGAAAGACTGGATCCAGACCCCGAAGCGCCCAGCGCGCCCGAAGACTTTTTGTCAGTTCCTCATTTAACGCAATAAACAACTTTGTAAAAATCATATCAGGTGCACCAACATGGCACACCTACGCGTATTAAATTTTAGGACAGGAGAGCTCTTTGGCGCCCCTAGCCCTGCTCACGCTATAAGAGCATACTTGATGTCGTATTCACGTCAGTTCCTGAGGCATGGCTGGCGTCCAGCGTCTGCGTACAATGTCAGAGTTGCAACACCACCTAGGGGTCCACGGCTGGCTTGTGGTGGCAATGCAATCAAAATAGCCGCTTATCACGCGCGGCCGACCATTTGCAGCAAGGCACCTGGTCAGGTCTGTTGTGCTCTTGAGAAGGCCCAGTCAGCGCAGCCGAGCACTCCACAGCAATTTTATCGGTGTCGCCTGTCACGTGTCCGTTCTCTGCCCAGTTAATTTTAACGAGGAAGTCTTCGCTCACATATGCTGTGGAGGTGGCTTTTGGCGCCCGAAAGCTCCTTATATACTCTGAGCTCATCTTCTGTGAAGTTTCAAGTCTCAGTCATTGCGGTGCCTTTGCCGTCCTTCGAAATTGAATCTCTTCTGACTGGCGTGGGTTTCGCCGCAATGAAATCGCGCCCCACAGTGCAGTGTGTTCAGAACGGGGTATTGGCAGCAACGTGTCATCAGCGCGCAACGTCAGAAGTAAATGGCAAGAATCTTGACTGGAAGTTGTCACACAGTCCCAGCGATATCCCACTTCGGGATGTCTTCCACACAGGCGAGGGCAAGGTCGCTTGATGTTTTTGAACTCTCGCGGTCGCAACCCATCGGCAAGTTCAAATATATTGGTTTGGAGCCGAATTTGTGTATAGGCCCGGGACATCCCACTGGCGTGTTGAATTTCCCTTCATCGTGCGCGGTGCTAAGTTCATATTGATCATTGCTCTCCCAGCAGAGTTGACTTTGGCTTCTTGAAAAGAAGCAAGGTTATTCTCTTGGTCTCTGTTACAGAGTCTCTGTTATCAGAAGCAGTATTCTCACTTCGTGGCGATGCAATTCTACATTCTCCCAGGATAGTCATTAGCTGTCCTGCGCAAATAAGTTCATACTGTTGATTGGGTGTTCTCAATTGTAGACAATACGCTCAACAATGTTAAACTTAACGTGGCTGAATATGGTTAGTATAATTCCTTGATGGCATTTTGTTTGCGCCAACGCAGTCAGTCACGGCAGCAGCGCAAGCGGTTGTCAAGGGAAAGGTAGTGAAGGTCAAAGAAGAGCCCAATGGTGACAGACAAGATCAAAGCGTGTTGACTCAAGGTTGAGCGCAAGGCCAAGGTCTCGGTGCGCTACTAAGTTTTGGGGCGCGCTGACCCTGGGTTGAAGGACAAGACTGGCTTGTGAGTTCTTTGCTCTTCGTTGCAGAAGCCTCCTTTTTGGTGAGACAAAACACCATAGATTGAACCATAGCCTTTAGAACCATTTGATGTTCCAAGTGGCGCAGCTTCTTCAGACGCCTGTGGGGTCGCGTGAGTTTGAGAAGCTTGCGCAGTTCTCTTGTGATGATGACTGGCACGCCGAAGACGATGTCCAGAAGAAACTTCTGATTAGGTGCCCTGCAGCGCAGAACGAAATCCCACCAAGGAGATGCGCGTGTCTGGAGGGGCCCTTGTCAAGGTCAAGCCCAAGCTGCGCCTAATTTGTTTGCGCGTTTGGTGGAGCCTTCGCGCCATTACCAGTGTGGCGCTATCGTGACGAAGACTTTGGGCGTGGGTGGCTCGCCTGGCCAAAAGCGAACCCTACATCAGAAGGGTAAGGAAGGTGAGGGCGGGCTTCGCTTGAGCGCCAAGGAGCCATCCTGTCATTCAACTATAGCTGTTGGAGCGACAAAGAGAACTCGCGTGGCTGCAGCCCCGGTTCACAGCTCTTTGGTGAAGACTGCTGCATGATCTTGGATGGACCAGTCAAGCTAGTGTGCGCGCAGGACAATGCGTCGGGGTGCTCGGCGAAGCTCAGGCATGTGAAAAGCTCATAGACTAAACAACGCAAGCCTTTATGAAGGGTGTCAGGACCAAGGTGATCTTGGACCATTGCAAACTGCATTGCAAAGAGCCGGTCCAATTGCCACCTGCGCTAGGAGAACAAGAATGCCCCAACCTCTGCCGAGCCATGTGTGAAGGGGAGAAGAAAGACACGGTGCACATGTAAATGTAGCGCTTTCTTGATCTGCTGAAGTCATGTTGTTCTGTATCACCAACTGCCTCACGCCGCCTGTGCGTTTTGTCTCTATATCAAAAAGAACCGCAGACGAACCCGTTTCAACTCCAAGGGTGCGTAGCCTTTAGGCTCCACCAATCACGCACATGTTCGTAGCTATGTGGAAACCCGTAGAGCAAACCTTGCGCGCCGGGCTGAAAGAGACATCGCCATACTTCTTGGCTCCAAAAAACGCAAGCGCTTCGGAGCGCTCGGAGCGGGGTGTCGTCCAGCGCTGTTTATTAGACTGTATTCTTATGTTTTCTTAACGGTTCGTTTATCCAGAATTCACATATAATGGTTGAGGTTCTCGCAGCCAAGGCTGTCCTCCCAGACGTATCAGTTTGGATCGACTGCTCCGGCTGCGTTTGCTTGCTGCGGCTGACAACGGAGCGCGTGCATGAGGCAGGGTGAGATCTCGCGCTTTGATGGGCTTTCCGTTTTTATTTTGGGGGCGCGAAAACCTTCAGATTACGCTTTGCCCAAAACCACTCGAGAGAGAGAAAACCAAGTTGAGAACAAGAAGGGCTCAGGCAGAGCTACGCTAGATATTGACAAGCCAATAGACCCAGAGGAATCAAGAAGAGCTGAATAAGAAGGCTTGAACCAAATCAGTAATGACTTGAACCAATCACAAAGCGAGGTGCGCTTTGTGAGAACTGGGGCGGGCGATGGAAGATTGACAGGCCCTGACAACACGCGTGCATAATTGTAAACTAGACGACGAGTGGCCCGAAAGCATTTTTCATCACGTAGGAAGTCAGAGTGCGAGTTATCTGTTGAGTGTGCAGTGTGAAGTGTTAAGTCGAGTGAGTTGAGGTAGTGTGTGGGTCTCTGAGTGTGTATTTGTGTCCGTGTGTATATGAGTCTCTGTCTGTGTGTGTGTCCGAGTAAGTTGAGGCAGTGCGTGGGTCTCTGTGTGTGATGTGTGTGTATGAGTCCCTGTCTGTGTGTGTGTGTATGTCCATGTCTGCTGGTGACTATTAGCGCGCAGGCCTCCCAAACCCCCCACCGGCGGCCAAGCGGTGACAGCCCAGCTCATCGTCGTGAGCATTTGGGCTGCTGGTAAGGGGAGAAGCAGCGTGCGCGCCTCCAGGAAATCTCACTGAAAAAAGCAAGCTGGGCTGGAATGAAGCGTACTAAAGTTGTACTACAAAGTCGCCAGTTCTCATCTTCCAGCTCCACAGATTGCTCCGCGTACTAAAGTTCTACTACCAAATTGCCAGTTCTCATCTTCCAACTCCCCAGATACTCCGCGTACTCAAGTTGTACTACCAAGTCGCCAGTTCTCATCTTCCAGCTCCCCGGATACTCCGCGTACTAAAGTTGTACTACCAAGTCATTGTACTACCAAGTCACCACTTCTCATCTTCCCACTCCCCAGATACTCCGCGTACTAAAGTTGCACTACCAAGTCGCCAGTTCTCATCTTCCAGCTCCCCAGCTACTCCGCGTACTACAGTTGTACTACAAAGTCGCCAGTGCTCATCTTCCAGCTCCCCAGATACTCCGCGTACTCAAGTTGTACTACCAAGTCGCCAGTTCTCATCTTCCCACTCCCCAGCTACTCCGCGTACTAAAGTTGTACTACCAAGTCGCCAGTTCTCATCTTCCAGCTCCCCGGCTACTCTGCGTACTAAAGTTGTACTACAAAGTCGCCAGTTCTCAGCTTCCAGCTCCACAGATTGCTCCGCGTACTAAAGTTATACTAGAAACTCGCCAGTTGTCAGCTTCCAGCTCCACAGCTACTCCGCGTACTAAAGTTGTACTACAAAGTCGCCAGTTCTCAGCTTCCAGCTTCACAGATTGCTCCGCGTACTAAGTTGTACTACAAAGTCGCCAGTTCTCAGCTTCCAGCTCCCCAGCTACTCCGCGGACTGCAGTTGTACTACAAAGTCGCCAGTTCTCATCTTCCAGCTCCCCAGCTAGTCCGCGTACTAAAGTTGTACTACAAAGTCACCAGTTCTCATCTTCCAACTCGCCAGCTACTCCGCGTACTAAAGTTGTACTACAAAGTCGCCAGTTCTCATCTTCCCACTCCCCAGCTACTCCGCGTACTAAAGTTGTACTACAAAGTCGCCAGTTCTCAGCTTCCAGCTCCCCAGCTACTCCGCGTACTACAGTTGTACTACAAAGTCGCCAGTTCTCATCTTCCAGCTCCCCAGCTAGTCCGTGTACTAACGTTGTACTACCAAGTCGCCAGTTCTCATCTTCCAGCTCCCCAGCTACTCCGCGTACTAAAGTTGTACTACAAAGTCGCGAGTTCTGAGCATCCAGCTCCACAGCTACTCCGCGTACTAAAGTTGTACTACAAAGTCGCCAGTTCTTAGCTTCCAGCTCCACAGATTGCTCCGCGTACTAAAGTTGTACTACAAAGTCGCGAGTTCTCAGCTTCCAGCTCCCCAGCTTCTCCGCGTACTACAGTTGTACTACAAAGTCGCCAGTTCTCATCTTCCAGCTCCCCAGCTAGTCCGCGTACTAAAGTTGCACTACAAAGTCACCAGTTCTCATCTTTCAACTCGCCAGACACTCCACGTACTAAAGTTGTACTATACCAAGTCGCCAGTTCTGATCTTCCCACTCCCCAGCTACTCCGCGTACTAAAGTTGTACTACCAAGTCGCCAGTTCTCATCTTCCAGCTCCCCAGCTACTCCGCGTACTAAAGTTGGACTACAAAGTCGCCAGTTCTCAGCTTCCAGCTCCACAGATTGCTCCGCGTGCTAAAGTTGTACTAGAAACTCGCCAGTTCTCAGCTTCCAGCTCCACAGCTACTCCGCGTACTAAAGTTGTACTACAAAGTCGCCAGTTCTCAGCTTCCAGCTCCACAGATTGCTCCGCGTACTAAAGTTGTACTACAAAGTCGCCAGTTCTCAGCTTCCAGCTCCCCAGCTACTCCGCGTACTATAGTTGTACTACAAAGTCGCCAGTTCTCAGCTTCCAGCTCCACAGATTGCTCCGCGTACTAAAGTTGCACTACAAAGTCACCAGTTCTCATCTTCCAACTCGCCAGACACTCCGCGTACTAAAGTTGTACTACAAAGTCGCCAGTTCTCATCTTCCCACTCCCCAGCTACTCCGCGTACTAACGTTGCACTACCAAGTCGCCAGTTCTCATCTTCCAGCTCCCCGGCTACTCCGCGTACTGAAGTTATACTACAAAGTACACCTCTCGCCTGCCTTTCGCGCGCTCGACACGCCCAATCTCCGCAGAGGCGCTCACACCCCACCGCGCTCTCGCCTGCGTTTCGCGCACTCGACACGCACGATCTCCGCAGAGGGTTGTGCGCACAGACCCAATCGCACTCTCGCCAGCATTCCGCGCACTCGACACGCACGATCTCCGCAGAGGGTTGTGCGAGTAGCCGGTAAATCGCACTCTCGCCTGCATTTCGCGCGCTCGACACGCACGATCTCCGCAGAGAGTTGCGCGTGCACACACCCCATCGTGCTCTCGCCTGCATTTCGCGCGCTCGACACGCACGATCTCCGCAGAGGGTTGCGCGCGCAGCCGGTACATCGCACTCTCGCCTGCATTTCGCGCGCTCGACACGCGCGATCTCCGCAGAGGGTTGCGCGCGCAGCCGGCAAATCGCACTCTCGCCTGCGTTTCGCGCACTCGACACGCACGATCTCCGCAGAGGGTTGCGCGCGCAGCTGGCAAATCGCACTCTCGCCTGCATTTCGCGCACTCGACACGCACGATCTCCGCACTTAGGGGAACCCTGTGCCTGCTAAGTACTTAGAAAGGTTATCTTACTTAACTAGATGTATGTTAGACATATGTTAGATGTATGTTAGAAGCATGTTAGATACATGTTAAATGGTTAGGGCTTTTAGGAAGGTTAGCTAAAGAAAAACAAGTTAGGCTAACTTTGTTAACTCTGCTAACTTTTAGCAGGTGGTTAGCTCAAAAGTTAACTAAGTTAGGTCAAAAGTTAGCTAAGTTAGCCATTATTTTGGAACCACTCTAAAATTTCTTTTGTTTGTGTAATTTTTGATACAAAAAACATTTGCAATAATGCAAACAACTTACCAGAGAAATGAAATATCGCAAGATCAGCCAAAAAATACAACATGAGTCAATTTTGTAAACCACCAAGCTGAAAGCAATCAACACCTATCATAATGATATTTTTGTTAAAGGCCAGTGCTGCTAATTGAAATGCTTTGCGCTGTTCGCTTTTTTTGTGCCAGCAAGCTTTTATGGGCTGTGGAAGCGTTGCCTTTTCTTGCAAGCATTGGCTGCTTCCTTTTTGCAAGCTGGAGATGGCTAAGTACAAGCACTTGGTTGCTCTTTTGTGCAAGCACTTGATTGCTTTTTTGGTGGAAGCCTTGGCAGGCTTTTTGAAGCGCCTGTGTTGGCTTTTGGATTGAAGCCTTGGTGGCTTCTGTGTGATGCACTTGTTTGTTTTTTGTCCCTGCAGCTGTGGCACAATACTTGAACCATGGTTCAACATGAACCTCCACAAAGCAAGCAGAATGTAAACTTGCAGAATGATGCCATCGCAGCGTTTGAACATGTTGAAGTCGTCACATGAGACACTCACAACCACCTGCACACAGAATAAGACTTGGTGCTAGTGCTGCCATGACCTCAGTGCCTGAGCATTTTGTGGAGAAACTTGATGAAGTGATGAACAATGAAAATGTACCTATATTGAAAAGAGTTGATCAACTGTGTGAAATGCTACAGAAGAATGGATATGGGTACACAGCAATGGTGAAGCCAAGAGAGACATTGGCTCATCCCTCCAACAGAGGAGGCTCTCTTTTGAACCCAATTGATATGTGGGAGAAGGGATTGAGAATGGTGTCAGTGGGGGTCAAGCCTACATTGCTCGAAGGAAATGGCATGGCCTTTGAAATGAGCACTGACCAGGATACCAGACTTGCTCAAATCCAGGCCAATGAAAGTGTTGTGAGGGCAGCAGATGGGTGCCTTGCAAAGGTGACAATGGAAGAGCGTTTCCTGACTGTTGCAACTTCTCACACTGCTGCCTTCTGCAAGGCCATTGAGCAAGGACTGAAGAGTTGTGAAGGAGTCTCAGTGGACACAAAATCAGACAATGGATTGTACAAATTGGTCAATGAAGGCTGGCCAATGTTTGTCATCAGTGAGAAGATTGAAAGGAGCATGCCTTCATTGCCTTCTTGGCTGCAAATGGCAATGAACTCAATGAACTTGGGCTTCAAGCAGGTCAATGAAATTGAAGCAGCAGCTTTAATGTCTGACTTCATCAAGCATGGCAAAAGCTTGAGTGAAGCCAGAGCTGCAGTGGAGAAGTCCGACCCTCTTTGCAAGCCCCAGCTGGGTGCCATTGCTTACTATGTGGGCAGATATGGAGGTGGTGAGCAACAAGGCCTACTGCAGTTTCTCTCCCAGTTCAGTGTCTTGGCCACATGT